CAAGCCCCTCTGCATCGTGCTTTAGATAATGGAGGCGTTCCTTTCAGAGAGTACCATGCACCTCCATCATCTGACGTGTGGCTCGTGAGCGCAACTTTACAACCCACCTCAGCTACTACAGGGGGATAATGAGAATACGGTTGGGCTGATTGTCAGCACATCTTCACGATGCTCCAGCCTGCTCTCAGCTGACAGAGGGGGCAGGACAGACGTACTGTGAGTCTGCGTCACCTGGTGCCAGAGGCAGGAGATGCCTTGCTCATGCCCACATGCAGGAGGGGCACTTGCTGGATATATACTGGAGCTGAAAGGGGCCTTAGATGTCATCCAGACTGACCCATTTTACACACAGGGAAATGGAGGTCCAGGGAGGTCAGGGCAGTGGTACCAGTCTGCAGAGCTGGTTGATGCCTGAATTGTGGCTGGCTCTATGGGATGCAAAGGCAAGGCTTGTGCTTGTCCCAGGCTATACTTTGGGGTTATTGGTTGGATGCTCTTTCCAAAAGATCTGGAAGCTGTTCTTTCACTAGCACGTGGATTCCAGGCTTCAGAGGACCAGGAGTGAGGTTTGGGGAGAGGGAGTGTTATTCCAAGTCTCTGCTGCCTCCACTTCCCCTTTAAAGAAGCCTTTCAGCTTGGGGCATGGAGAGAGTCCAGAAGCAGGGAAACCTGGGTGCTGAGCACCACAGTCTGCACTGTCCTGGTCTTGGCACCCCCATCTGTCACCTGGAGTGAAGGCAGCTGCCAGCTTAATTCCCTGGGAGCAGTGGCAGTGTGAATCCAGCGACAGCCCAGGAAGAGGCAGCATTTGTGAGAGACCCCTGGGGGTCCCTAGGACCTGCACAATTTACCCTCCTCTCAGCCCTAGGGGGCACTTGGAGCTCCTGGGACAGGTGAGGAAACTGAAACTAAGCACTTGATATGGAGTGAAGCTGGGATTTAAACCCAGATTGAACAATTGATGAGCGGGATCACTGCTCTACACTGTACCAGTAGAACATGTAAAAATGTTAAGTGGACCAGGCATGAGGGCACACACCTGTAATCTGAGGGGCTTGGGAGGCTGAGGTAGGAGGATTAAAAATTCAAGACCAGCCTCAGCAATTTAGTGAGGCCCTGTCTCAAAGTAAAAAAAAAATAAAATAAAAAGAGCTGGAGTGGTGACTTAGTGGTTAAGTACCCCTGGTTTCCATCACTGGTACCTTGAGAAAGAAAGAAAATGTTATGTGGTTTCAAGTGATTACAGATATCATGTCTGAACTGTATTTTTATTATTAATAGTAATGCCCAACTTATCACTTGAGGCCTTATTTTTATTTACATTTTATTGCCAGTCTTTTCCATGTGCCCTGTACCTCGATCCTCCGTCCACTGGGGTATGGTGAGTGGCAGGGCTTTGTAAGGTGCTGGCCAGCAGCCCCAGGAGGAAGCCAGTTCTTGCTAACCCAAGTAGACGTTTCTGAGGTTGAGGAAAAATGCTTCTGTATACCTCCTGTCTTCACTCCCACGTCACCTTGGCCCTTCCTTAAGAGGGATCGGGGATTTCTGTGACCAGATGTAAATATGGGCACTTACATATTTTAAATGGATAAAGGTAAATAATGCCAGGCCTCCAGGCAGCAGCCTCTACCCTTTGGATCCTCCCCCGTGTGCCAAGCTGTATGCCAGGCGCTCAGTTGTGGTAACTCACTGGCTCCTCTCAGCAGCCTTCCCTGAGAGAGAGCAGGGAACTGTCATTAGATGTAATTGTTTTCCTCACAAGGAGACTGATGCTCCCATGATTTGTGCCTTGTCCAAAGAGCACACAGCTAGTGTGTGGCCAAGGTCTCCAGGGGCCAGCCCTCCCTGCCGCTCCCTTCTGGTGACTCCGGCCACCTTGCTGTTCCTGGAATTCCTTATACTGCTTCCTTCCAGTAGGCTCTTTTCTCAGCCAATGCGCTTTCCTGTCATTAAGGCCTCTGCTCCAATGTCACCAGAGGCCTTTCCAGGCCTCCCCACTCCCAGCCTAAAGGAACAGCCTGCCAGTTCCCCCACTCCTCCTTGCTATTTCTCTGTGGAGCACACATCACCCCTGGCCGTTATGTTTGACATTTATTTCTTAGTTTCTGGCTCTCTTGTGAACTCCACAAGAGGGACACATGGCCTTTTTTGTTCACTGCTGTATCCCTTGCCCCTAGAAAGATCATGGTATATGGGAGTCACTTGGGTGAGCAAGTGAGTGAGTGAATGAATGAATGGGAACTCTCAAAACCTAGCCTGTCTGACTTCAAAGTCCTTGCCCTAAACCCTCACACCCATCTGCCCTCTCTCTGTTTCCGTCTTTACTGAGCCCAACTCAGTAGGTGAAACTCCCCGGATGAGACTCTGATCAGGGTGTCAGGAGGACCTGAGTAGTTCTGAGCCATTATTCTCCTTTTCTCTCTGGGCCATATATATAAAGTGGGGGAATTGCTAGGATTCCTCAAGCTTTTATTTCTCAGAATCTGGCTCTGCTGCTGCTTGGGCATAGTCACAGTCACCAGGCACTTCCCAACTGTGATTAAAACCCAGAACCTCAGCTTGCAGGTTCACATCAGCACTTTGCATCTTGCAAATCTGATGACACAGGGATTCCCTAGGCCCCCATCCGGCAGTGCAGGATGCTCAGACACCTCCGTGACATCGTGGGGAAAAGGAGGAAGCTTAGACAGCATGAAGTGTGGACCTGTGGTTGCCCGGATGCTGCTTTCAGTGTCCTTCTCTGACTTTCCCAGAATGTGCTAACTTTGTCCTTGAGTCCTCTTAGCTTAAAAGGATGCTTTTTTCCCATCCAACCCTTGCTCATGTTGGTGACCGAACTGCCACTCACCAGGCTATTTATGGGGAAATGTGTGTTTCAATTGGCCAGCATCAGGATGAATTCTGCAGACTGGGGGGACTCTCCCTTGCTTTTTTTTCCAGCTGCGGCTTGATGATCATTAAATCAGACCTAATGCATTGCAGATTGTTCTGATCAAATCCTGTTGTAGGCAGAATAGCGAGAGAGAGGCTCGGAGCCAAGGCACCCCCACCCACGCCTGCAGTCTCCAGAGGGACCCTCACCCTGTGCCTCAGCTCCAGTCTTTAATAAAAGCTCTCCATGTGAGCTCAGGAGGAGGATGCAGTGCCCAGAGAAGCAGCCATTGCATATGGTTTCTATTTGAGCACCCTGGGGACAGGGACCTCCTGGGTGGGGTCAGGGTGGGGTTCAAACTGACATCCTAGGCCAGAACACAGGCCTCCTATTGCATAAAATCCCTTTATAACTCTTTATTTGTCTAGCATGAGGAACACAGCAGCCCTGGAGGGAGGCTTCGGGCCACAGGGTTCACAGACACCTAAGTGCCACTTTGGGGCACCCTCTAGGATACAATGGGATGTTCAGATGACCCACAATGGAGTCCCAGTAGAGAGCTTTTTAAAGGGGATCCTGAGGTCTTTCAGGCAGGCTGGCTGTGTCTCCGTTCCTCCAAAGCCCAAGACCCTGACTGTTCCCGGGGTGGAAGGGCATATTGCTGACGATTCACTCTTGCCCTTGGGTGAGGAAGGCAGGGAAGTGTCACCTGCTAATATGATCCATGCCTCTGGGGAGGGCTAGTCCATCCCAAGGACCAGCATAGACATTTATCCCCACCTGCTGGGCCTCACAGCTTCGCCACATGTGTAGCAGGACCTGGCTGGCTGGATTCCCTCAAAGGTCAGGTTTTGATTAGAGTCAGCCAGGAATTCTGGGTCTAGCCCAGCAGGAAGGGTACCTCTGTGCCCTTCTGCTGCCCAGCAACCTTGCCTGTGCCATTCAGGTGGCACAGATGTAGAAGGAGGAGAATAAGCAGCCAGCCCGGCTTCCAGGGACAGCTCGTTCTCTTAATAAAGTAATTACAGAGCTGGATAATTTACATCCCTAGAAAGATGCAGGGCAACTACCGACCGGGGTGTGTGTGTGTGTGTGTGTGTGTGTGTGTGTGTGTGTGTTTAATTTTAAATCCTCCAACCTCCCCTTAATGAGGAGGTGCCTT